AGTTGTATTAAGTTGTGGACAAATCGAAAAAATATTAGCGATCCCGATACTAGATGATGGTACAGGACAGTCTCAAGCTGATGCAATGTTTGACGCTGTTATTGATTGGGGTATTCCTGACTGTATTAAGGCTCTTTGCTGTGATACTACTGCTGCAAATCTAGGATCAAGTAAAGGAGCTGCAATTTTACTTGAACAGTTACTCGAAAAAAAACTCCTGTATTTGCCTTGCAGGCATCACATGTTTGAGCTTATTCTAAGGGATGTTTTTGAACTTAAAATACCTACAACTTCAGGTCCTGATGTACCTTTGTTTTAAAAGATTCCGAGAGAATTGGACAGAAATTGATACAAGTCAATATTCTACTGGCATTGAAGACTCGTATGTGCAAGACAAAATACAGAATCATATTGAAAACATCAATGAATTTATCCAAAAGCAACTTGATTCTGAACAACCAAGAGAGGACTACAGAGAATTTTTGGAGCTTGTTTAGGTATTTATCGGTAAAGTTCCGTGCAGTGAAGTAAAATTTAGAAAACCGGGTGCATTCCATCACGCTAGATGGATGTCGAAGGCCATATATACTATCAAAATATATTTATTTCGTAAACAATTCAAAATAACCGTTAAATTAATCAAATCAATTTCTGAAATTTGTATTTTTATTGCTACAGTGTATATCAAAGCATGGTTTACTTGTCCTCTAGCCTCTGAAGCTCCAAATAATGATTTATCATTTTTTAAAAGAACTTATTGATTATAAATTGACAGATGCTAAAATATCTGAAGTAGCATTAAAGAAATTTAGCAAGCATTTGTGGTATTTAAATCCAGAAACTGCAGCTATGGCGTTTTTTGACGAAAGAATATCACTAAACATTAAGAGCCAGATGGTAATTATGTTAAAAAGTATTGACAAAAGTTCAGAAAAATTGAAACGCTTTGAAATTAAAAACATTAGAGACGTATATAATTGGAGCATTGCTTCATTCATATCATCAGATCACTTTAGTTTTTCGAACGATTGGGATAAATACAGATTTTTTAAATTTAAATCCATCTGAGTGGTGTCGAAATGAAGATTACAGAAGGGTTTGCTATTGGTAAGAAATTTGAAAGTTGTTAATGATATGCTGAGCGTGCAGTGAAACTAATTGAAGAATACCTAGTATACTAAGCAAGGATCCAGAGCAACAACAATTTTTAATTCAATTTCTATCAGAATATAAGCAATATTTGCTGATAGTCGAATCTACAATAATGAAAATATGAAAATTGATTAAAGCTAAGTATCCAAATGGTATCATATTTCATCCGTTCTTTTATTTTATTATCTTGAAAATTAAATAACTTCTGTTTTATTTATTTCAAAATCACATATATTAATCACAATTCTACGGATAACATTATATTTGCTTATTTTGATCATAGATAAAATTTTACAAGAAATATTAATATATTTGTAATATATTATTTACTTAATAATCATACTTAATAATATTAATAGTTATATAAAAATTAACTTTAGCTCGAATAACTTTTAAACTAATAGATTTAGCGAAAAACTATAAGAGACCTTTTTTGTAGAGCGTTAAATTCTTCATAAAATATGTATGATCATCATGATAGATCCTTTATCCCGAATAATAAAATTCTAAATAACGAAGGAATTTTCTCATGTTATTTCCATAAGAACTTAGGTTGGAATGCGGACTATCTTAGAGTATGATATTAAGAGCTCAAATTTTCAGGGAATTTTTTTTTATAGATTTGGAAGCTTTTGAGCCCCTGGGAGCATAGAAATTTGAAAACACCTGTTAAGGACCACCCTAATATATATATATATATATAT